GCCTTGCTTTGCTAAAAGGGCAAGATTGAAACTATATAATTTAGTGGCGGACCTACCGTGGGGGCAGTGGGGTCAGCTGCCCCCACTCACCCCACCTCCACCCCTTATATAACCTTTGTATGTATATGTGTATATATAGTACAAGTTTTAGTATAAGTATTAAAAAATAGAGGAATATTCATAAAATGTGCTTTTGCCTAGTTGGCTGAGCATGTGATTGGCTTTAAGGTATGCCAGGGTTCAAATCCCCTTAATTGCTTTCATTATTAACACTACCTTTTCTCATTATTTCACATTTTCACTATTATTAATAGTGCATATTGCTTCAACACAATAATATAATCTTCATTTATATTAATAATTAGATGAGATGTGTAATTTATAATGGATCTTTTATTCAAATTATTTTATCAAATTGATTATGTTCATATTTTGTTATGAATATTTTGATAATGTTTTGATGTGTTTTATAATTTTTCTATATCCAACATTATTTATGACTATATTTTTTAAGTGTTTCATTTTTTTTTTCTAATTATCAATTTTGCTTTAATATTTTGCCCCCGCTGAAAAAAATTCCTGGGTCCGCGTATATATGTACGTTCTTGAATCCCAAACCACCGAACTTTTTAGGCATACAAAGTTTGTCCCAAGCGAGACAATGGATATATTTGCTGGTTGTTCCACCTCCTACCCATCAGTACCTATTCATGAGTCTCTCTAGTTTCGCATAGAGGGTTCCAGGTAGGAGAAAAACACTCATCGAATAGGTCGACATTGCCGACTTTAGACAAAAATTTCTTATTCCAGGATCATGTGCTTCAGTTTGTTCTCTATATATGAGAAAATAGCTCTCTTATTTCGACCAACTATTGTTGGAAAGCCAAGATATTTACCATAATTTTCACTCTGAACTACTATAACCTCCCCCCCCCCCCCCCCCCCCCCCCAAAAAAAAAAAAAAATTACGAGATCCTCCTAAATACCTTAAGCCATGTTCATGATGAATGAGATGGTGGATTTGTGATAGTTGATTCTTTGCCTCAAACAGGCTTCATATTGTTTTCAAACAAGCCTTAGCTTGACCGCCACTGCCTCCCCTCTTGTGACTTTGAAAAATAAAAGACCGTCATCGGTGAAAAAGAGATAGGAGATGGTCGGTGCTCCCATAACCACCCTACAACTGTGTATTAAACCGGCGCTTCCGACTGACTAGAGTAGGATGGACATGCCTTCAGCGCAAATAACAAAAAGATATGGTGATACCTTGTTAGAGGCCACGAGATGGGGTAATTGATTCTGTCAATTCGCTATTAACTAGAAAGTTATACTGGATAATTGTCACACACATCATTATCAATTCAACCAATTCTTGCGCAAACCCTATTGCCAACATAATCTAGCATAAGAAAACCCACTCCATCTTGTCGTAGGCTTTTACTATGATTAGTTTGAGTGCTGTCCACCCAACCTTCCCGCTTGTCTTGCGTTTCATATAGTGCTTGGTGTCCGCCGGCAACTAGGATATTATCTGTGATTAAAAGGTTAGGGATGAAGGTACTTTGCGATTCAAAAACCACACTCTTATAAACTCATTCATTCTATTGGCTAGCATTTTTGCAATAACTTTGTTGATGACATTGCACAAGGCAATCGGGTGCAGATTGACAAATGTTTCTAGTGATTGCTTTTTTGGAATTAATACAATGGTGGCTTTGTTTAGACCTTCCAAAAATTGATGGACAATTTTAATATTTCCTCGCAAGGGCACGAGTCAATTGTAGTTATAGTGTGCAAAGCAAGGGGTCGAACTCACAGGGAATTGTAACAATGCAATTTAAAGACATAAAACAATTAAATTAACTGACTTAACAATTTAAAAGTGCTAAAAACGAATATCAAAGATAAGAATCAACTCAAGTGCAAAATAATTAAATTAAAATTTAGGAAGTTAAGTAAATGAATCACTAGGAACCAGAAAATCAGATAACAGTCAAGAAAAAGCCTAAGAACATGAATCAGAAACCATTACTAATTCTGCACAATTAATCTCAGTAAAAGAACATAAGATGAAACTTAATTGAATTGACTGGCAACATAAAAACATAAATGAATACAAAATGCTTCATAGTCAGGGGCGGACCTAGCATGGGGGCAGCTGCCCCCACTCACCCCACCCCCACCCCATATATAACCCTTATATATATATATATATATATATATATATATATATATATATATATATATATATATATATATATATAGTCACAGTTTTAGTATAAGTAAAAAGAAAACTACAAAAGTTCACAAAAATTAAGGCAGCTTAGATGGCACATGATTTACCATCTAAGCTGCCTTAATTTTTGTGAACTTTTGTAGTTTTCTTTTTACTTATACTAAAACTGTGACTATATATATATATATATATATATATATATATATATATATATATATATATATATATATATATATATATATATATATATATATATATATATATATATATATAGAGTTTTTTTCCATTTTGGTCCCTTGACTATCGCTCATTCTCAATTTTGCATTCCGACTTTTAATTGCACCCAATGTGGTCCTTTGACTTTAAAAAATTACCCCAACTTAGTCCTCCGTTACATTTTTCGTTAACCAGGCGTTAAGTTTGGGGGTATTTCGGTCATTTCATTGTATTTTGTGGTTTCTTCTCTCTAGGTTTGACCTTTTCTCTCTCCGTCATCTGCGTCGCACCTCCGTTCTCTTCTTCCTTGAAGCTCCGCACCTCTGCAATGGAGGCACAACGAGCTCCTACGTGAGAAAAGGTGAGCCCGTCGAAAGTTTCCCTCCGCCGTAGGGTTACAATGCACCGGAACAAGTTCATATCACTCAGGGAGATCACGAGAGGCGTGGCGTCATCATCTCCTGGGTCAAGTACTGGAAGGCGTCGGCGCAGGACAGGGAGGTGGCGACGCCTATCAAACACCGCAGGTCTTTTGCTTATTCCACTTTACAAGTTCTACACTTACACTCCTGGCTTCATTCACCACGCCATCATCACAGACTTTGGTGCTTTTTTTTTTCCTTTTATAATTAACAATCATTATCTTTTTGTCTCTGTTTCTTGTAACATCTACGTAGTTCAATATGACCTACAAATACGAAGTTGGAAATGAAATGTTAATCGGTAGTTCTCCTTCACAACATAGACTTGATTAACGCCTGGTTGTGGAATATCCCCCATCGATCAATAGGTTCACCCCGCTCATATACATAAACTCATCGCTGCCCAGCCGCCCAGGTACAAAGCCGCCTCTGCTGCATCCTCGGTTGTCAAGCTAACCCCTTTCAGATTCAGAGCTTCTGCTATAATAATTTCTTCTGATCTACCAATTTAATATCCTGGGTCGGCATTATACGAAGGTCATCGGAAATCTCCTCGAGACCTTTGACTCCCCGGCGGTTTCTAGGGTTCAAGGGGTGCCGCCGAGGTCGAGTTGCCGGAGGTTCTGGAGCCGGTAAATGTCGGAAGGAATGGGGCCCACGAAGAAGTTATGAATGAGGTCTTCGTTAAAGAATAAAAGAAAAGGAAAAAGAAGAAGCCAAGGCGCGCAGCAGATGAATGGACCAAAATACCCCCGAACTTAACAGCTGGTTAATGGAAAATGTAACGGAGGACCAAATTGGGGTAATTTTTTAAAGTCAAAGGACCACATTGGGTGCAATTAAAAGTCGGAATGCAAAATTGAGAATGAACGATAGTCAAGGGACCAAAATGGGAAAAAACTCTATATATATATATATATATATATATATATATATATATATATATATATATATATATATATATATATATATATATATATATATATATATATATATATATATATATATATATATATTAATAATGAGATGTGTAATTTATAATATGTTTTCTATTTATAATTATTTTATCAAATAAATTATGTTTCATATTTTGTTATAAGTACTTTTATAAAGTTTTAATGTGTTTTATTTTTCGCTCATATCTAACAATATTTATGGCTAACTTCTTAAGTGTTTTTTTTTTTAAATTATCCCTTCTGTTTTAATGTTTCACAGAAGCTCTTGATGCTTAACATTTTGTTATAAACTTATAGACATTTTTTATTATTTGAACTTTGCCCCCACTCAACCATTTTTCTGGGTCTGTCATTGTTCATAGTAATATCATTATGGTGAAATCAAGGTTTTAACATTTTCAAGACTTGCGAAAACATAATCAACACTAAGCATTGTAATCAGATAATAAACATTCTGTAGCAACACAAGCACAATTCTCCATAATTGAAATTAAAAGAATCACAACCCAAAGTGCAAGATCTTGATTGTAGAAACTAATACCACTATTAGAATGCAAATAAAATCTAGAACCTGCAAAATGCCAAAATTAAGTGTCGCTGCCCATAAGAAATTGAAGCTGCTGCCGCCGAACATAAAATCGCACCCCGCTGTACTGACAGAAGCTGCCACCATCGGAAATCAAACTGAAGCTTATGGAGTGTTGCAATTCTACAGCCACCCCCTCAGGATCCTTCACTTTTAGACCCTGGTTCTATTTATAGCATCCACCACCATAATTTCTTTCAAATTCTATGCAGCAACTGAACTCAATGAGTGGAAGGCCGAATTACCAAATCGGTTCTTGACCGATTTGTAACGTTTTATCTGTTACTATTATTATAACATTAGGATAAGTTACGATAATATTAAGTATATTTGATATGTGGTGCAACACTAATAACCTAATAACTAGACTACCATTATGATTAGGAGTCTGGTTAGGGTTTAGGAGACCTAAAGACATACAACCACAATGATGGTCAGTGGTTATATAAGGTCACTAGTCCTCTCACTGCTCACACTACATACCTCATACACCATCTAGAGAGAGCTGAGTAAAGTGAGAGACAAAATACTCGTGTTATCTTTGCAGCACTTCGGATCGTTCAACCATCATCGACTCAATAACTATGGCTGGAGGTTAGTACGATCCTGTATCACATATTATGAAGCACGTGATATATATTTTAGTCTAACAGTTGGTATCAGTGACCATAAACAATCTCTGCCTAGTTCTTTTTAATTGCTTATAAATATTTGCATATGTTATATCCTTTTCTGTATAACTGAGATTACATATGTGAATTTTTTTTAGTCTGCAATTATATTGTCTGGGCTGCTGGAAATTTGGTTTATTTCGCATTAAGAAACAACAAAAACAAATTAATTAAAATTGGATAATTAATTTTTATTTGGCCTTTGTGATGCTTCGCCGGAAATTTCTTTTTGTTTCTGGAATTCCGGTGATGGCTTAGCTCAATCGGCGACGAAGGCACGGCCTCGAGGTTGCGGTGTTCTGTACGTCGTCGGCTGGACTGAGTTCCATCGTGGCAGTAGGCAAAGCGGCGGTGGCCGTTTCGCGTCGTGGCTACGAACCGAAGACGGCGGCTGGTGGCGCTGGTGTTGCATCGAGGGCTGGTGGTGGTGGCAGCGTTGGGCTAACCGGCAATGTTGCCGCTGTCTGTTCTCCTTGTGGCGAACCTTGGCTGCTGATTCGTCCTCTGGCTGTGCATCGCTGGTCTGCTGCTGTCGCCTGTCGGCTCACTAAAGAAGATGGATGATGATATGTAATGGGCCGGGTCTGACCATTTGGGCCAGACCTAGGCTCATTATTATAAACAAAAAAAAAAACATTTTTTTAACTAGGCCTGTTTTTGTTTTGGGTCAGACCTGAATTGATATTTGGACTACATCAATTCATTCAGTTTAATATCTTCATCATATTTGGATTTCTTCTAATTAAATTATCCAATTGAATTTTTTTTATTAAGTCTATTATTAAATTATTATTTAACTTTGGATAATTATTCATTTTAATTTTTCAGTTGAATTTTAATTTAATAATGTTTTTCAGTTTAAATTGTATTAAGTGTTGCAATTTAATTGTGGAGTATTTGTGAGTAATATGCATAATCTGAGCATGCTATTTATCTCTTTATTGCAATAATTATTTGACTGTTATAATTATATGCCTGTAGAAAAGCATGTTCATTAGGAATAAATTTAGAGCCTTTTAGGTCTGAATGATATGTTTTGCATGATTTAGTGCCTTTTAGGCAAATTAGTGCCTTTCAGGTTAGATTATGCATATTATTACTCTACTCTTCAGTTATTACTCCACTCGTGCTTTTATAAAGTTCATAAAGTACATAAACAATTGGTAGTTTACCCTATTCAAAGCCTTATCCATAGGTGAAACTACACTCTTTAGATCTCTCAAACGATTTTACTTCAAAAATGAGAACACATGAATTCGGGAAGTTTCTTGGGGAGGAATACTAGTTCTATGGCCCTGGCTTAAAAGCCTTGTTGCTACTAGTCCCCTTGCGGCGCTACTCTGTCTAAGGAGTTGGTTTTTAACCGAGCTTCGTCTCGACCAACTTTCTTGGGAGTATATCTAAGGATTGTCTATCATATTTTGGTTTAATCTGTTTGTTTATTAGACTTTCTTGCTAATGTGTTTATGTTCTTAGGTTAATTAAAGAGTAGCCACATCATCTTTAATTTACCAAAATTACATATTAAGTTTTACTCATATAAAATTTAGGCAAGAATATTGTAGTTAATTCTACGTGATATGGCAAAATTTAGCCCACATGCAATTTTTTTTATATTTGTAGGGTTAATTAGGATGAAATAGCATACTATGATCATAATTTGCCCACAGGGATTATGTAACGGCATATAGTTTTGGTAGTTTTGTCATTAAGGGTGGAAAAAAAAAAAAAACTAAAATCGCACCCATTCCGTTTCCACCATTCCGTTTTGATAAATTCATTATGCGTATAAATTTAGCCCACAGGTAATTTTTATGTCATCCGAATTTATCTTTTGCGTAATTTTACATTGGTAATATTATGTACTTCAGTATCTCTCTCTAATTTTGAGCCTCGAAAAAAATTCTAACCAAGCTTTCAATTTTCTTTTTACAGTCAGTCTTCCAATCACTCAATCAATAACTATTGATATTCCTATTCTTAATGATGATAATCACAAAGAGTGGAAAGACGTTGTTCTATTGAATTTGGAAATATTAGGGTTTGATTATGCTATCCGCAATGAGAAGCCTCTTGAGCTTACTACGGAAAGCACTGCGGAACAAAAAACGCTATACGAGCGATGGGAAACAGCCAATCGCTTATGCGTATTTCTCATTAAGTCCAAAATTGCCAAAGAGATTCGTGGTCCCGTCGATGAAATTGAGGAAATTAAGCCATTACTTGAGGCCATCGATGAGCAATTTGTTGACGCGAACAAATCTTTGACAAGTACCCTGATAATGAACTTTATCAATATGCGTCTTTCCACTGTCAAGGGAACGCGGAAACACATCATGCAACTCAGGGACATTGCGGCTCAATTAAAGAAGTTAAAAGTTATTCTTCCGCATGCCTTTGTGGTGCATTTTGCACTAAATACCCTATCTCAGGAATATAACGCATTTAAAATTTCCTAGAATACACATAAGGAAGAATGGTCTATCAATGAATTGATTACCATGTGTACTCAAGAGGAAACACGGTTTGTGACTGAGCTTGGGAAAAGTGCTTTAATGGCCACAACAAGGCCTAAAAGAAAGTCTGGAAATCCTAAGGGACTTACCATGGCTGCTAAGGGGAAACTAACCCCTAAAGCATATATTAAGAAGATACAAACATGTTTCTTTTGTAAAAACAAGGGACACATGAAGAAAGATTGAATCAAGTTTAAGAAATGGATGTCCCAACAAGGTAACATTTCATCTTCTTTTATTTGTTTCGAATCTAATATGTTAGAAGTTAATACTAATTCTTGGTAGGTTGACTCTGGCTCAACAATCCACATTGCAAACTCTTTGCAGGATATGACAAAACTGAGACAGCCGATGGGAACTAAGTGTAGCATCTTCTCTGGAAACAAGATTGCATCACTAGTAGAAGCTGTCGGAGTTTGCAATTTAGTGTTGGACAATGGTTTTGTATTGACGTTAGAAAAGACATTTTATGTTCCTACTTTTTCTAGGAACTTAGTTTTAGTATCTAGACTTGTACCCTTCGGATATTCTTTTGAATTTAATACCAATGATTTCAAGTTATTTCGTTAATCTACTTGTGTTGGTACTGGTATATTGTCTGATGGTCTTTTCCGTCTTAAATTAAAGAATGATTCAGTTTACAATTCTTTACATGTTCAAAATGGCACCAAACGGTGCATTATTAACGACAATTCCTCAATGTTGTGGCATCGGAGATTAGGTCATATCTCCCTTGAGCGTATTTAAAGGTTAGTAAAGGATGGAGTACTTTCTACTCTAGACTATACAGACTTTGAGACTTGCATTGATTGCATTAAGGGTAAGCAGACAAACAAGTCAAAGTAAGGTGCCAATAGAAGTTCAACGTTGTTGGAAATTATTCATACTGACATATGTTGTCATGATATGACAATACCTGGTCAGAAATATTTCATCACCTTTATTGATGACTTTTCAAGATTTTCCTATGTGTATTTACTTCATCATAAACATGAAGCATTGGATGCCTTTAAATCATTTAAAGCTGAAGTCGAAAACCAATGTAACAAAAAAATACACATAGTTAGGTCTGATAGCGGTGGTGAATACTATGGTAGATATACTGAGAATGGACAAGCACCTGGTCCATTTGCTAAGTTTCTTCAAGAGCATGGGATTGTTGCCCAATACACCATGCCTGGTTCTCTGGACCAAAATGGTGTAGCTGAAAGAAGAAATCGGACCCTTCTAGATATGGTGCAGAGTATGCTTAGTAACTCTAAGCTTCCTAAGTCGTTGTGGGATGAAGCACTTAAGACGGCAACATATATATTAAATCGTGTTCCAACCAAGGCTGTCCCTAAGACACCGCTTGAGTTATTCAAAGGTTGGAAACCGAGTTTGCAACATATGTGTGTTTGGGGATGTCCGTCTGAGGTGAGGCTATATAACTCACACGAGAAGAAACTTGACCCAAGGAAAATTAGTGCTTTCTTTATTGGGTATGCACAATCTTCTAAAGGTTATAGATTCTATTGTCCATCTCATACTACTAGGATAGTGGAATCAGGGAATGCTAAATTTCTTGAAGATGACTCGATTAGTGGGAGTGATCGGTTTAAGGACTTAGTTCCCTCCTTCAATCATACTGACTCTCAACCTTCTATGTCATCTGGTGGGATTGTACTTATCCATAGTGCTCCTTTAGTTCCGCCTGCAGATATACCACATACTGTTGAGGTTCCACAAACTGTTGAGGATCAGCCTTTCGAAGAACCAGTTCAAGACTTACAGCAACCGCCTGAACTAGATTTTGAACCAATGGTTGAACCAACTCAGGATATACAGCAAGATTCTGAGCCGATGCAGACTGAACCAATTCAAGAACTGCCACCGGTTCCTGAAGAGGTAGTTGCCCCGCAGCCTGTACTATGCGATGGGGGTCCAACCTTAAGACGGTATACTCAGATAAGGCGATCAACAGTTCCTAGTTATTATGTTTCGTATGTACAAGAATCTGACATTGGGGCCGAATATGACCCTGAAACATTCTCTCAAGCCACAAATTGTGCACAGTCTGACTTATGGTTAGAAGCCATGAAAGATGAAATGAATTCTATAAAGGACAATGGAGTTTGGGATCTTGTTGAGTTGCCTAATGGAGCTAAAGCCATTGGCTGTAAATGGGTTTTTAAGACTAAAAGAAACTCATTAGGCAACATTGAGAGATACAAGGCCCAGATTGTTGCCAAGGGATTTACCCAAAAAGAAGGAATCGATTACAAGGAGACCTTTTCTCCTGTATCAAAGAAAGATTCACTTCGGATCAATCTGGCATTAGTTGCACATTTTAATATTGAGTTGCAACAAATGGATGTGAAAACCGCTTTCCTTAATGGTGATCTAGAAGGGGAGGTTTATATGAAACAACCGGAAGGTTTCTCTTCTAGGGGTGGTGAGCATTTAGTATGAAAGCTTAAGAAATCCATATACGGTTTAAAACAAGCCTCTCGTCAATGGTATATCAAGTTTGATGGGGTAATTTCTTCGTTTGGTTTTGTTAAAAATCCCTCAGATAAATAAATGTATATACCAGAAGGTGAGTGGGCGTAAAATTGACTTTCTTGTTTTATATGTGGATGACATTTTACTTGCCACCAATGATAAGGTGATGCTTCGTGATGTGAAACAATTTCTTTCTAAGAACTTTGATATGAAGGATATGGGTGATGCATCTTATGTTATTGGCATTAAAATTCATAGAGATAGGTCCCGGGGTATACTGGGTTTATCTCAAGAAACCTATATAAACAAAGTTTTAGAGAGATTTCATATGCAAAATTGTTCACCAAACGCTGCTCCCATAGCTAAGGGGGATAAATTCAATTTGGACCAATGTCCGAAAAATTATTTGGAGAAAGAATGCATGGAGAACATCGCTTATGCTGCAGCAGTTGGATGTCTTGGATATATTCAAGTCTGTACGAGGCCGGATATTGCTTTTGCAGTTGGAATGCTAGCGCGTTACTAGCACAATCCGGGATTAGACCATTGGAGAGCTGTAAAGAAGGTTCTAAGGTATCTCAGAGGAACCAAAGGTTACAAGATTGGGTTTAGGCAAACGGACAATTTAGATGTTGTCGGTTATTCAGACGCGGACTTCGCTGGCTGTGTTGATTCTCGAAAATCAACTTCAGGGTGCGTCTTTATTATGGCCGGTGGGGCTATCTCATGGAGAAGTGTTAAACAGTCCTTAATAGCTACTTCTACCATGGAAGCCGAGTTCGTTTCCTGTTTCGAGACTACTTCACAGGGTGTTTGGCTAAAGAATTTTATCTCTAGGCTTAGAATTATGGATTCTATATCTAAGCCACTGAAAGTCTACTGTGACAACTCAATTGCAGCCTTCTTAGCTAAGAACGACAAAAGTGGAAGTCGAATTAAGCACATCGACATCAAGTTTTTAGCAATTAGGGAGCATGTCAAAAATAAAGTTGTATTCATTGAACACATTCATACAGAGTTGATGTTAGCAGATCCCTTGACTAAAGGAATGCCTCCATATAAATTCAAGGATCTGGTTCAGAAAATGGGACTTTCACTCAATTTGTAATTTGTATATATACATTCAGTTTCAATAAAATTCTTTGGCATTCAGACATTTTCTCAATTAAGTGTGTACACCTTCATTTGCTTTATATTGATGAAAAAATGTACTTCAGGGACTTGGAATAAACATGGGGTTTATTTAATTGGGTTTTGTTTCATAATTAAGTGCTCAATGGCAGTTTGCATTTGATCATAATGGATACTACTCGCGCTAATGAGAACGTATCATTATGGTTGGTGTTTTTCTATTATTGAGTTGTAATGCTTGCACCAAGTGTGAATATGTAACGTTTTATCCGTTACTATTATAATAACATTAGGATAAGTTATGATAATATTAAGTATTTGATATGTGGTGCAACACTAATAACCTGATAGCTAGACTACTATTATGATTAGGAGTCTGGTTAGGGTTTAGGAGACCTAAAGACATACAACCACAATGATGGCTTATATAAGGTCACTAGTCCTCTCACTGCTCACACTACATCCCTCATACACCATCTAGAGAGAGCTGAGTAAAGTGAGAGACAAAATACTCGTGTTATCTCTGCAGCAGTCCGAATCGTTCAACCATCATCGACTCGAGAACTATGGCTGGAGGTTAGTGCGATCTTGTATCACATATTATGATGCATGTGATATATATTTTAGTCTAACACGATTTTCTCCCGAGTTTTGCGCAGCCATGGCCGATCAAAGCTTCTGGATCTCCTTTTTCGTTTATTCGTTATTGTCCGGCATTGTTGAAAGACTTACAACCAAGAAGTAAAAATAACTATTTTCATTTTACTAATTAAATAAAATACAATTAAACGCTTAAATACATCAGAGTCCATATTTAACTAGTTTAAAATTATTAAACTCCTGCTAACCATGTACTACTAGTTATTATTAAATTGGATTAAGAAATTGTTGAACCGACAAATTTTAATAACAAAATTAATTTAATATAAAAAACAACCCCAAAAATTACAATCTCTCTCTCTCTCTCTCTCTCTATATATATATATATATATATATATATATATATATATATATATATATATATATATATATATATATATTTATATATTTATATATATATTAAAGCAAAATGATTATGGAAAATTTTTTCCCTCCAAAGTGTGAAAGCATTTATTGTATTCACATTACTTTATAAATTCATGTAATTTTAATTATTAAATTAGTCAACATAAAATGTCTATATCATTAATTTATAAAATATTACATATATTATATATTATATATTATATATTATATATTATATCTCTATCTCTTCTCTTCTCTTCTCTTCTCTTCTCTTCTCTATCTCTATCTCTATAGAAGCAAAATGATTAGGAAAAATCTCCATC